GGACACACACACATACAGACAGGCAGTAGGACATATAGATAGTAATCGCGAGGAGAAGCAGGAGGACGGCAATCGCCACTGCCACCGCCGCCTCCTCATCATCATCACTCGGACACACAGTTGACGTAAAAGAACGGCGCAAAAGTCAGTGGGCGAAACGCGACCGCACGGGGGCGGGGACGCAGGTGACGCAATTCACGAATTGTCGTAACCGCAATCTGATTGACTGATAAAGCGTACACGCCTAAGGTAGCGAGCGTCCTTTTAGGATTATGCGGTGGAAGGTAGAGTTAGGTCCCCAAACAGCACGCCAAACCCCCATTCTTGTGTAATACGGGACCAGGGGCCATATGGATTATAGCGTTTGGCCATGACAGGCGAAAGGAAATGCAAATAAGAAAGGAGAGCGTATGAAAGCAGAAGAAATAGGAATAGTTATATAGATAATCTTAAGTTTGCCAACACAACAGCGCGCCATAAATAACATGTACACTCACGCAAATATCGCGCACAACTTAAATTTGCGAAACAACGCAAATAACAAGAAATTTTGAATGATTAAAGCAAGCTTAAGTAAAAATAATTAGATGAAAACCGTATGTCACTAACACATCTATAAATAAACTACGAAATAAAATAAAAGTAAAGTTAATAACGAACTAAAGGTAGACTCAAACAAGCTAAGCTAACTAAACTGAAAAAAAAATAACTAACGAAAGCTTAAGTCAACGAACTAAAGAAAAATAAGCTAAAATAAGCAAAACTGGCTTACAGAAAACTCGCAAAGATTTTAACTCGAAAAGCAACCACGTGTAGCTAAACTAAACTAAGACCTAAGTAAACAAAACAACACTAGAGCAAACTCAACTATAAAGAAATCTAACACTAAAATCTAATTAGTAAAATTGAATATTGTTGGGGAGTAAGTGACAATTTAATAATCTAGTTGACCCAATTGTGAAAATGTCGATGCCTAGGTGAGAGTCAAACCCGCACAGCAGGGAAGGCATCTGCGCAGCCAACACTCTACTATTGAGCTACGAGGCTCACTGTGAGCCGTGAATTTAATCATCCCTTAACAATAACCTAAAAACAAAACTAAAACCAGAAAGAAAAATACTATAACCATACATCAAGTATTTATGGCGCGCTTTTTGTTGGTAAACATTAGATTTAATCGGTCCTTGATTCTCATGACACGGCTGCACGTGCTAGCCTCAGGCCAATGTGCAATTTTGACGCATAGTTCCGGTCGCTTTTGACACGTCCTTGATGTATGTCAGCGCGTGCCGTATCGTATGGGCTGGTTCTGGTTAAGTCCTCGGAGGGCGAACACGTAGGCATCGTCTTATGAAAGGCCTTCCCACAGCCGTCCCGTATAAACTGGTCAAGCAGCCACCT